GGCTCAGTGGATAGAGCATTGGCCCGCAGACTGCAGGTTACCAGGCCCCATTCAGGTCAAGGGCACATATCTCAGTTGCAGGCTCAATCCCCAGCCCTGGTCAGGGTGCACGCGGGAGGCAATCAATCGATGTGTCTCTCTCTACCTCCCTTCCACTCTCTCTAAATATCAATGGGAAAATATCCTTGCATGAGGATTTAAAAAAAGAAGAAAGGCATCTTTAGCAACTACAAGTTGAAACTAGTACGAAATGACTGACTAGAAGAACCTATACAGTGAGAAAAAAAATTTTTTTTGAAACCTATAGACGGGAGGGTATATCAGCCTGAGACCCCCACCCAATTTGCTTTTCAGATTAGCTGCCCACCTGCACTTCTTAAGCCAGATGTATAGGTTTGCTTGCTTTGCTTCTTTATCAAAGGTGCATGCTTTAATAAGTTGGCTTTTCACAATGCAGTCAAGGTCCCTTGTACACATTCATTTTTAAGAGAAGACAAGGATGGAGGCTGTTCCCAGTGGGAGCTGTCCGGGAACACCTCTCTGGTGCTGGTGAGAGGTGCCTCTAACAGCACCACCTGCACAGACCCTACACTTCCAGGATTCCAATCCCGTGTACACAACCTAGAGAAACTCTTGAACATGTAAAGCCAGAGATGTGTATAAACATGTCTATAGCAGCACTGTTTATAACAGCACACAATGGGAACAATGCAAATGTCTATCAATGGGAGAATGAATATATAAATTATTATTATTTTTTAAAATATATTTTTTTTATTGATTTCAGAGAGGAAGGGAGAGGGAGAGAGAGATAGAAACATCAATGATGAGAGAGAATCATTGATCAGCTGCCTCCTGTAAAGCCCCCTACTGAGGATTGAGCCTGCAATCCAGGCATGTGCCCTTGACTGGAATCGAACCTGGGACCCTTCAGTCTACAGCTTGACGCTCTATCCACTGAGCAAAACCAGCTACGGCGAAATATAAATGAGCATATATTCATACAAGTGAACCTCATAGCAGGAGGGAAACATACAGCTTCAAGTATAGCCCTGATTAAATAACAAAAACAAAGTTAAGCCTAAGATGCAGGACACAGAACCATGCCCACAGTCCTCCCAGTCACATAAAATTAAAATGTAGGCAAAAGTAAATCGCTTTGTGCATAGCTGGGAAAGACTATGAAGAAAAAGCACAGAATGATCAACTCGATTTAGAACAGTTACTTCAAGTCTCAAAGAAAAAGAGTGTGTTCTGAGAGGAGCTTGCAGGGGGCTTTTCGGGTTTCACAGTGTTTTATTCTGCTCAATGGTCTGAGCGCTCCTTTCTCACGTGTTGGCTTTAAGCTGTACATGCACCATACTCCACTGTGTACACTCCTAATTAAGAGAACAAAACACCGTTTATACCTTTCTAATGACTTCAGAATGAGAGTTCAAGGTTTTTAACATTGCCCATAAGAATGGTTTCTGAGGTCCTGGGCTATTTCTCTAGCCTCTCTTCCTGGCATTCATACTGACGAAAATGGATAAAACCAGAATAAAACAAGACGGCAATTTAAAAGCAAGGCAGTCTAAAGGGGAGGAGCCGTGTCGTCTAATATTTTAACAATTTGATAAACAACAATAATAAATGATGCAAATAACACATGATGCAAAATTTCTTGAGGAGCTCACACACTAGCATTCAGGACACGCCAGACATCTCCTCATCTGTCTCACCCCTTATTACCAGCGTCCACTCAAGTAAATAACCTCCTCCTCCTACCGCATCCCTCATTCTGTCAGCGACTTCCACCCAGCGCCGCAAGTCAAGGGCTCTGCGACGCCCTCCAAAGTGTCTTAATGATGATCACTTTACGGAAAACGAAGTCCGCAACACCTTCGCTCTGGGAGCCTTTAGCAAAAGCGATTAGTTAGGAACACGTGACCGACACCATATCCGACAGACGGTTCCGCAGGCCCGGCCAATAGCCCTAAAAAGCAGCTCTTATAGGGACTCAACTTCAGAGAACAGACCCGAGGCGGCGTCACACGATCGCAACTGAGCCTCCACACCCGGGCTTCTGTGCTCACACCACCTTACCTCGGTTCTCCTGCTTCTGCTTCTGGTTACGAAATTCACTCTTTCCAGCCGCCAGGGCTGGCCCGTTCGCTTGGGAGGTCGCCATGTTCGAAACGCTCCCGTTACTTCCGGAAATGGAACGGTTCTTTAATCCTTCCGGCTAAGGTCCCTGTACTCAAAAGGAGTTCCACAGAACCCAGACGAGAGATCTGCGCAGTCTCTGTGAGTGCCTACGCTGGAATCCGCGGATTTGTGTAAACTACAGCGCTCCTTTCACGTAGTTCCGGGCTTCTTCCCAGGATGCAGTGCAACCACGGAGTTTGACTGCATGCTGGGAATTGTAGTTTAGTTCTGTAGGCAAGTTGGAGACGGGTCTTGTCTGTAATTTTCCCATGGCCTCAGAGTCTAACCTGGTCTGACCCACTCTAGGGTTTGGCCGGAGTGTGCAACCTATCACTAAAGTCACTCCTTTGGTAAATGTTTATGTGATAGTCAAATATGTGGTAGACGTTGGGAGAAGGTACTAACGTGAGAAATATGGTTCTCAATGGCAGGAGGTGACAGTAATAGCTACCATTTACTGTGAGATTCCTTTGTGCAAGGTACGTTGTGTGTATTGTTTCTAATCCTTAAACCCAAAGTTATACATTGAGAAAACCAAAGTTTAAAAAACCCCCACAAGATTTATGATTTTTTTGGAAGATTAGTTTCCAAAGTTCTTGTTTCGGATGGTGATTTTCTAGGGTCTTGGTATTTCTCTTTCTAAGCCAGAAGGATAGCAATTAAGCATTATTTCTGAAGTATTTCACTTAGCCTAAGACTTCCCAAAATGACTAACTCCAGGCCATCCCAACACTGAATATTAGATGATTTCATGGTGTGAGGTTCACCACTACTACAAATCTTCACACTTCTAAGAATCGTAAAGTTCTTAGACTCGCTAAAGATAACTTGTTTTTATGATTGTTTTTATTTGCTTGCTATTTAAATTTTTTTTCTGCAGAATAGAAGAAGTTTGATAGGTTGAATTCCTCACATCAGTGAAATGGGAAACAATGATCTGAAATCTACCCTTGTGTATCTTCTAGAAAGGATTCTTATGAGGTACACGTAGAAGAGAGACGGTTACTTAGGGATAGAAGATCCCAAAATTACATTAAGATTTTTGCTGTTAGCTTATGTGTCTTATAAATGACAGGCAATGATTTCATCCCTATATTCTTATAATCTGCTAAAAAAAATTGACAAATCCCTGTAACAGAACAAATAACAGGTGAAAGTTATAAAGTGAGAAGCAATCCTTCAATATTCCCAGAAGACCTCGGAAGCAGGTTTTTATTACCCTTATTTAAGGAACTCAATGGACTTAATAGTGAGTTAGACTTCAAGTCTAGGCAGTCTGACCACTAGTAGCTCTGTGCAAGGAGGGCTGGATTTTCAGCCTCATTGCTTTTGGACTTGAGCTGCATCAGCAACCCTTCTCTGTGTCTTCAGCCTGCTGGCCCACCCTAAAGATTTTGGACTTTCAGGCCTCCATAATCACATGACTATTATATAAATACTTTGGAGAACCCTGACTAATACAGCAATTTATAGTAGAGTAAATACAATGGCTAATAAACATATTACACTTAATTTTTAAAAAAAATATATTTTATTGATTTTTTACAGAGAGGAAGGGAGAGGGAGAGGGATAGAGAGTTAGAAACATCGATGAGAGAGAAACATTGATTCAGCTGCCTCTTGCACGCCCCCTACTGGGGATGTGCCCGCAACCGGGGTACATGCCCTTGACCGGAATCGAACCTGGAACCCTTCAGTCCACAGGCCGACACTCTATCCGCTGAGCCAAACCGGTTAGGGCTACACTTAATCTTATTACTGTCAGAAAAGCATATAGATATCACTTTTCAGCCACCAGATTGGCAAAAAAGAAATAAAAAATATTTTAAATAATATTCTGCTGGAGGAGAGAGCAGTCTTATACAGACTGATAGAAATGTAGACTGTTACTGCCTTCTTGCAAAGCAATCTATCAATATAAAATATACACATATTCTTCCACAATAATTTCCCTCCGGGGAAATTGTCAACTAGAAATATAGCACCACTTCATTAGGAAATATGTACAATTGTGTTGATTATTGTCTTGTATAGATGTAGTCCAGTGAAAGGTACTTTGGAGCCACACTGACTAGTTTAGTGCCTACTGGCTGTATAGGCTTGGGCAAATTTCTTACTCACTCCTGTTCAGTTTCCTACAATGGAGAGAATAACCTTAACTCAGTGAGTTTATACATGTCAAGTGCTAAAAAAGTGCTTTGCATATGAAACACACTCAATAAGTATTAGCTATTATTTATTTAGAGTGGCAAAAAGTAAAAAACAACTATCAATTAGAGATAAGTAAATTGATGTTACCTTCATAACCATGAGGTATTATGTAACCATTCATAAAAATTAATTAAATTTATGTGGAGAACCCAGCTGGTGTGGCTCAGTGATTGAGTGTCGACCTATGAACCAGGAGGTCACAGTTTGATTCCTGGTCAGAGCATATACCTGGTTGTGGGTTCAATCCCCAGTGTGGGGCATGCAGGAGGCAGCTGATCAATGGTTCTCTCCCATGATTGATGTTTTTCTCTCTCTTCCTCTCCGAAATCAATAAAAATATTAAAAATATAAATATATGTGTGGAGAGCTTACCCAGGGTCATTGAATGATAAAAGTTAGATACAAAAAGATGGGATAATTATAATTATCCTATATAATAAACGCCTAATATGCTAAGTACCTGGTTATCTGGTCATCCATTCAACCAATCAAAGCGTGATATGCTAATGATATGCTAAGGCCACTCAACCACTCACTGTGATGTGCATTGACCACCAGGGGACAGACACTCTGACCAGTAGGTTCGTTTGCTGCTGGGGTCTGGCAGATTAGGACTAAGTGAGACCGGGCCAGATAAGCCCTGGAGCCCTCCCACGGTCCCTCCCTGGCTGGCCAACCTCCTGCATCCCTCCCCAGCCCCGATCGTGCACCAGTGGGGTCCCTCAGCCTGGCCTGCACCCTCTTGTAATCCAGGACCCCTTGGGGGATGTTGGACTGCCGGTTTCAGCCCAATCCCACAGGCCAGGCAGAGGGACCCCACTGATGCATGGATTCGTGCATTGGGCCTCTAGTATTAAAATAATTAGATTAGGGGGAACCAAGATGGTGGCATAGGTACACACTTGTACTTGCTGCCTCAAACAACCACATCAAAAATACAACTAAAAGATGAAATGGATATCATCCAGAACCACTGGAAGGCTGGCTGAGTGGAAATTCTACAACTAGAAGGAAGGAGAAAAGTGCATTGAAGCGGGTAAGAGGTGCAGAGGTGCAGAAGTGCAGAGGTATGGAGGCGCACACGGAAACAGGCTGGCTACTGGGTACACTGTTGTCTTTTTCAATCAGGAGGGAGATACAAGCTCCCAATTCCTCTGAACTCCAGTTCCGGGTGAGACTGTGGGGACCCAGACTCATATGGAGAGAAACTGGACTGTCTGGCATCGGGCTGTAACGCGAGGGCGGCTTTCTTGCAGAGGTGCTTGCAGTGATCATTGTTCCTGCACGGGGCTGTGGGACACAGACACCCCGGAACTTCTCCAAAGTGGGGCTGATTGGCAGCCATTAAGGTTTGCTCCACCCTGATGATTCCCTGAGACTCCACCCCACCCAATTTACAACCCTACCCAAGCTGTGAGCAGAGGCTTTTGCATATGAATGGCCGGTTCTTTTGCAATCTAAAACCTAACAAACTGCAGCTGGGTCAAAGAGTGCCAACGTCTCCAAAAAAAGGCTTAGACAACAGCTTGCATTGCTTCACAGCTGGGCCTCATTTGGGCACTTCCAAACCCCAAACAAAGAGGAGAAATCTGCAGATCTCTCTGTAGCTCCTGCTGGGTGGCCTCAGGAAGTGGCTGACTTTGCACCTCCGTGGAGATCCAAGAGCCAGTGTACCCAGTGGTCAGAGTGAAACCATACCAGAGTGCAACTCTTCACATCCATAAGGGACACATTCAAGGGGCAGACTTAGTGAGCACCAAAGCCCCACTGAAGCAAGTCCTGCCCCATAAGGGTGTCTCCAGCACAGTAGGTCTCCTATTGTAGATACAGCTGGTCCTCACAGCCAATTGGCCTGGTGGTCAATTCCTCCCAGTGATACCAACAGCAATCAAGGCTTAACTACAACAAGACTGTGCACAAAGCCCACAAAGGGGTGCACCAAGCGTGTCAACCTCGCCCTAACCGGTTTGGCTCAGTGGATAGAGTGTTGGCCTGCGGACTGAAGGGTCCCAGGTTTGATTCCAGTCAAGGGCACATTCCAAGTAGGGGGTGTGCAGGTGGCAGCTGATTGATATTTCTCTCTTATCGATGTTTCTAACTCTCTATCCCTTTCCCTTCCTCTCTGTAAAAAATCAATAAAATATATTTTTTAAAAAAATAGTGTCAACCTCAGGTAATTAGGGAGGCTGAGCCACTGGACCCTATAGGACACCTAGCACACAAAGCCACTCTATCAATACAGGGAAGCAGCCAAAATGCAGAGACAAAGAAACATGTCACGAATCAAAGAAATGGAGGAAAGCAAACTACTGAATATAGAGTTCAAAACCACAGTTATAAGGTTACTGAAGAATCTTTTAAACCTCCTAGAAATTTAGTGAGACCCTCAAAGATATGAAAAAGGACCAATTAGAAATTAAGCATACACTGGCTGAAATAAAGAATAATATACAGAGTTCCAACAACAGACTAGAGGACCCCAAGAATCAAGTCAAAGATTTGAAATATGAAGAAGCAAAAAACACCCAACCAGAAAGGTAAAAAGGAAAAAGAATCCAAAAATATGAAGATAGTGTAAGGAGTCTCTGGGACAACTTCAAGCGAACCAACATCCGAATTATGAGGGTACCAGAAGAAGAGAGAGAGCAAGATATTGAAAACCTATTGAAGAAATAATGACAGAAAACTTCCCCTACATGGTGAAAGAAATAGATTTACAAGTCCAGGAAACACAAAGAACCCCAAACAAGAGGAATCCAAAGAGGACCACACCAAGACACGTCATAATTAAAATGCCAAGGGCAAAAGACAAAGAGAAAATCTTAAAAGCAGCAAGAGAAAG